TAGTAATTCTGAGGCAAAGGATCTTTGTTGTAGCAGTTCTGGTACCAGCTTTTTGTGTTCTCATGGAACATATTCAGATTTTGTGATCTAATATCTGGTTGGGTGGATGTATTTTATTTGTTTTTCAGTATAAAGTATTTAACTGCTGCTATATGTAGACATCAAATTAGGTGCAAATTCTTTTCGTTTCCCCTGATGTAATATATTTTTTGTTTTTCCATGTGTCTTGCTGAAACAGTTAAGATTTTCAGAAAACTCTCTGCTAACAAAGTGCTTATTCTTTACCATACCTTTAAATATTGGGTTTGGAGAGCTTCCAAAGGGCATGTTGAGTCACCATTAGAAATTAACTATTTGTTTAAAACCTTTTACAGACTAATATTAAGCATGCATATGTATATATTTTTATTGGTCAAAGATAACCACTGAGCTCTTATTTTTTTCTGATAAAGTTAGTGAACTCAGATTGTCCTGGGCTTCCTTTTAACTCTATCTTTTGCTCTTTAAGTCCAATATCTGACAACCTTAAGTCCTTCCCTTTAATGGTAAGCTTAAAATAGAACCATAATAGAAATTTAAGTGTTCAACCATAAAAGAGACTTTTGTGACTAATTTTTCCTGTCATCTAGTTTATCACATTATCAGCTCCTTTTTCTTTCAGTATTTCTTTGCTAATTTATAACAGGATAAATATATAAATGTGATTTTACCCTTTATTTTTAAGGTACTGTTATGAATACTAATAGTAATAAATTATACTTCATTCATAAGCTAGGAATAATAAGAAACAAGAAAAAACACCTTTTATGGTTGAAATTTTTGGACAATGTGATTAAAATTAAAGTGTAGATTTCCAAAGGTCAAAAACTAATGTGATCCTGCACAGTTTTAGAAAAAGGACTCCATAGCAATTCACTTTGTCTAAGTGCCAATCAGAGGACTAGAAGGAGCTGATAGTTTTTAGTAGTAGTAGTAGTACTAAACTTGTATCTTAAACCTCAGCTTTTGATTAGGACTCAGCTATGTTTAAATCTAAGTCAGTTCAAATTTTGCTATATGCACATAAACTCTAAAAGTTTTTTAAATTATGAGTTGAAACAGAAAGAAGAAACCATCCAGAGTCATCATCTGACACATATAACTAGCTCACATAATCACATAATGCTGTTCTAAGTACTCTTCTTTTGTCCTAAATGTGTCCATTACTCTTTAGGGTGTGATAGATGAATCTTTATTTTAATTGGACAGTAAGGTCTTCAAGACAGCAAACATCTTTGCTAATCTGTGCTATTTCAGTATTACAATTAGAACTGTCAGAGTCTTAAAGAATATAAAGAATAAATAATATAGGTGCCATATTTTTTATGACTAATTATTTCTAGCATTTTCAATCAATGTTTTCTTGTTTCTCCAAGGTAACATTATATTTTTTTTAATAAATATTACAGTTTGAATTAGTTTTTACATTGAGAAGTAATATTTACAAATTACTAAATGCTAAACTGTAAACTTTATATTACAAAGTGCTCCTTTATATATAACTTTCATTACAGTACACTCACTACATTCAGATTTATTATTGAAATTCTTTTTGAGGTTTAATAATACTCCATTTGGACAGCTGCTTCAGAATTATAAAATGTTCAGTGATCTCAGTTTCAGTTTAAAAATGTTCATACTCTGGAATCATACTTCTTTATTTTCTCTGGACTGCTGCACTTTTTATCACTTCTAGACATATAATTTGAATCCTGTATGATTCAACATCTTGGGAATTTTTCAAGGCAATCTATACAGCCAAAGTTCTGGCTTCTCAAAAAAGACATTGAAACTGCTGATGATAACAGTCATGTTACAGTCTAAAGAGAAACAGATTTAAGTGAACAAATTGCAGTACTGCCATTAACTTTATCGTAATTAGATGTATGTGAAAATGTTAATAAGTAGCAGTTTGGAAAAATACAGGGATACACACGTGTAAATATGTGTATGTAAGTATATGCACATACATGCACATATGCATATAAATATACGTGTGAGAGAGTGTTTATGTGTGTATGTGTATTTACATACAGTTGCTAAATAACTCAGATTTTCAGGGACCTTGAAAAATCTTGGAATCAGACCTTAAAAGAATAGCAATCTTCACCCTTGGTTTGTTCAAATTTGAGCTGATTATCTGTGATGGGATGGTCCACAAGATTTGGAAGTTATCTGTAGCTATTTTATAGATTTGCTAAACAATCACAATAAGAAAAATGAAACAACTGCTTTCCTTTGCAAAAAGAATATGTTGTTATATTTCCAAAGGCAAAATATGTGAGTTCAAAAGGCTGAAAGCACAAAACAGTCTTTAATACACTCAACATTCTTCAGTTAGCGTATTTATGAACTTAAGCCTCATCGGCACTTAAATCAGAAGCTTCAAAATGCAAAACACAAAGAAATTAGCTAAAAAGATAAGAAAATTATTATTCATAACATTCATACTATTAATATTAATAATTAGTAGTAGTAGCAGCAGCAGTAGTAGTAGTTATGATCATGATGTTTAGGAGCAGAGAAAAACATAATTATAAGGACAAAACACCATGCTGTAATTGGATATAAATAATATTAATAAAAAAATAATCTGCAATAAAATGCAAATATCAGAAGCAAAAACATTTTAATCAAAACATAAAACATCAGACACTCGGGATTTTGGACTGTTGTGGAAGATTCCTTTTACCTTTTGCACATGGGATATACAATATCATATCAGACAAGAATTTTCTCTTGGCTACAAACAGGTCACAATGGTGCATGCTGACCCTTCTAGTCACACTTCATACTGCAGTGAATTCCTACACAGTGTCACTGAAATGTGGCATAAAACTGTTCTTACTCTCATGAATGGAATGAATTGTGTTCACAGGACATTTCTGACATGAGTTCAAAGGATTTTCTCACAGAAAGGTAGAGGGAATCCTTATTAAAACGGATGAATTTCAATGGCTACCATCTAAAAGTTACTCATCTCTTCTTAGTTATCCAGTCTCCTTCCATAATTAATGGAGACATGAAGATTCCTCCAAAGGGAAAATAATCTTAAGTATAAAATTGAACAACTATTTTAAGGTAGGTTGAATAATATTATGTATGTTCTTCTCTCTTACTGTTGTATTTTGGATTGACTAGAGCTTAATTTATTATATAGTATTACCCCCTACTTCATTTACATGAGGGACAAAAAATTTTTTTCAAAATTTGATGGGTCTTTGTGGTGGGTTGACCTTGGATGAATGTCAGAAGCCCACCAAAGCTGCTACTCCTCTCCTTTGCGGGACAGGTGAAAAAAATATAACAAAAAGCTCATGGGCCATGATAAGGATAGGGAGAGATCACTCACCGATTATCATCACGGACAAAATAGACTTAACTCAGGGAAAATAGTTCTGTTTATTATCAATCAAATCAGAATAGGATAATAGGAAGTAAACCCAAATATTAAAACCACCTCCCCCTACTCCTCCTTTCTTCCTGGTCTTAACTTTATTCCTGATGACCTCCACAGTGGCGCAGAGGGATGAAGAATGAGGACTGTGGTCACTTCATCACATGTCGTTTCTGCTGCTCCTTCCTCCTCAGAGGGAGTACTCCTCATACTCTTCCCCTGCTCCAACATGCAGTCCCTCCCTCAGGAGACAGTCCTTCAAGAAATTCTCATATTCAATATGACTCCTTCACACAGGTTGCAGTTCCTCACAAACTGCTCCAGTGAGGTCTCTGCCGTGGGGTGAAGTCCATCAGGAATGGACTGCTCCAGTATGGGTCTCCCACACAATCTCAAGTTCTGCTGGCAAACCTGCTTCAGTGTGGGCTCCTCTCTCCATGGGTCCACATGTTCTGCCAGGAGCTTGCCCAGCATAGGCTTCCCACAGGATCAGACTCCTTTGGGCATCTGCCTGCTCTGGAGTGGGGTCCTCCACAGGCCACAGGTGGATATCTGCTCCACTGCGGATCTCCATGGGCTGCAGAGGGTCAGCCTGCCTCACCATGGTCTTCATCATGGGCTGCAGGGCAATCTCTGCTCTGGCGACTGGAGCACCTCCTCCCCCTCCTTCTTCTCTGACCTCTATGTCTGCAGAGTTGATTCTCTCACATATTCTCTCTCTTCTCTTGCTTCATTCACTTCTGTGCAATAACTTTTTTCCCTTTCCTAAATATATGATCGCAGAGGCATTACTACCATATCTGAAGGGCTCATCCGTGTCCCGTGGGGGGTCCATCTTGGAGCTGGCTGTCATTGGCTCTACTGGACAGTGGAGAAGCTTCTAACAGTTGTTCACAACAGCTATCCCTGTAGCTCCCCCAGCACCAAAATCCTGCCAGGTAAACAGCCTTTATAGTTGTAGAAATGTGAAGAGATCTCTTCTGTGCTTGAGTTCTGACATTGCTCCGACATTTTCACTAATTGTAATTAATGTTTGATTTAATGATTCAGTTCCCGACCCTCTCTTTTCTTTCATTAGGAGAAAGTATGAGTAGGTGGTTGTTAATATCTTAACATCAAAATGTTAACTTTCTGCTGTCAGAGGTGGGACAAATGAGAGTCTGTATACCTCAGGGTTGACGGTGAGAAGAAAAGCCTTTATTGACTAACTCACTCAAAATGGCTCCCACCTTATATAGGGTAAGGTGAGAGCATTCTAGCAAGAGGGTGTAACTGGGGAGGAGTTAGGGAGGAGCATGCAAACTAAGGGGATGTCATAACCATATAGGGAAAGTGCTGCACCGCATCAAATAATAACCAATGGGAAAACAGGACTCATGACCATGAGGGATAAAGGAAATTACTAGAACTTAAAGTACAGAACATGGGAAATCATACAACAAAATATGAAACACAACCCAAAATCCAAAATGCATATTCTTAAACAGTTCATAAAGTCCATATCTACTTAGAGTCAGGAAGAATGCTAAATCCGAGGCTCTCCTTTCAATCTTCATTTTCTCACCTCCAGTATTCCGCCTTTATTCCTTCATTGAATTGTCCCACCTACAGGGGCAGGAATGATTCAAGTCAGCATTGGATTTTAGTGTATTTAAAACAAACTAATCTAAATTCACGATTTTTAAAGGATTTTTAAAATCTTTGACATTGTCAGAATGGTTGCTCATTTCCAGGTATCTCCCATATCGCTCCAGTAAACTAATTTTTTGTCAGGATAAAGACATAAAACTTTCAATCAGGTACACTGTCTGGTTGAACCTTTATATAGGAGAAGGAGGATGGAACACCAACTGGAGAGCTCACTGATAGAAAGTGTAGAAACAGCTAGAGTATAGACTCCTAGCAGTGATAGCAAGAACACAGTGAATACAGTATGTTTGGACAAGCACGGTGACCTCTTTGTGTAGCCTGAACTCTTTGCTAAGACTTTGTAAAGAACAGTTGCTTAAACCTCAGTGTTAAGCATGTTTAATTTTAATAAATTGCTAGCCTTGTGTGTACTCAATATATTTACATACAAATATGTCATTTCATTAATTTAAAATGCACAGCTATGTGGTCCTCTCTGCAATAAAACACCTCACACATTTTATGAATCATTGAGATCTGCCAGTAGGTTTGTAATATAAAATAGAGTGGGTTTATGACAGCAGTCTGCTGGTCCATCACCCAATAAATACATGCCATGGGTAGAGGACATGAGGACATTTCCAGGGATCCTGCCAAATCACTGCTTACTGTAAGATTTTTGAATGCTTGGTACTGCCAAAGACATACTAAAACTAAGGAATGTTGAGTCCAGATAACAAACAGGCTGTGTTCAAGGACAGGAAAACAGACAACCAGACAGAACGAACACACCATGGACTGGATAGACAGGTACTGAAGGGCAGAGTGCTTGTTAATAAACGTAATTGATTGGAATTTTTGCACAGGGTACAAGTTTTCTCAAACTGAGTGATCAGTTGATGGCTGGAGGGTGATAGAAGTCTATGTTGCAATGGTCAATGTCATCTCCAGCTGGAGAGTATGTTCCTGTTCTGTCTGGAGTCTCATATGCCCTGTGAAGTCCCACAGGACACTGAACTTAGTTCAACGGGAGATCTGTGAAGTTGTACCTTAAACTAGAAAAATACCCATAGATCCTATGTTGTGATGAAAGGTGCACATATCTGAAGTATTCTAGGGCATCTAAAATTGCTCTAAATGTACATTTTTAGGCACTTTATTTGCTTTCCTACATTTATACATCTAAATTTAGTTGTATGTAGTCTGATACTGAGAAATACCATGAGGTATTCATCTGGTATTGACTCCTGGTGGTTTCAATTCATCTGAACTTTTTTTTTTTTTAGCTGTGAAGAATGTCAGGTTGAAATGAACCCAGTCCTAAAATGCTGATTCTCTTTTGCATTTCAGCACTAAAGATGACCACATTTTGACAAACAGAGCATTTAGTCTCAGAGGCTGTAATTACACAAACGCATGTTGGATTGTTTATGGCAGTATACATATCTTTTGCAGACTCTGGAAAACATAAAAATTTCCAGACTACCCTGAAGGAAATAATGTTCCAACATTGTAGTAGCAATGTAGCTTAGTTCATGACCTCATAGGAAAAAAGATGAACATATTTTAAACCACAACTGATTTCAGTCTCTCACACTCTCATACCCACAAGTCCCAACTCACATTTAAAAAACTTGTGAGTGTTCATGCACTAAGATGCCTATATCCAGGTAGTTTGCACAGGATTACTTGTATGGAGGATTAAAGTGTCAAGCTCTTCCCCACACTTCTTGAGTTCCTCCTGAGGGCATTCTGATTTTAGGTGTGTCTTGTTCTACTCTTTAAGAGCTGACAGTGTTTGATGTCTCTATACTGCCCCCCTTCTCTGAGTCATCAGTGGTTAGTCAGTGTCTCTCTTTCAGAACCGGTTGTCTTGAGCAATTGCAGGTTTGCTAGGGTCTTGCTGATCTGTTCCTGTAAGTGTTAGCAACACAGGACATTTTTATAACATTTATCTCACTCTTATTTTACCCCCATGTGTTAATACTCACTCTCTGGAAACACCAATCTAAAATATTTTTACTACAATTTCCAGAGCTCTAGAAGATTCTCAGACATTGATTTTCTAATGTACTGTTGCATCCTGATAACTGATGGCAAAAAATTGAAAGCTACATTTTACGATTCATAGGTTTTTTCCTCAAAAGATTACCAATCTCTTGGTATTTCCCCTCAGCAGTATAGTATGGTAAGCTTTCAACTTTCCTGGTACGGAATTATAAATGAAGATCACAATTCAGTTCCTTCTGTGCAATCGTTTTATCTCTAAATTCTAGGCTGATCAAACCTTCATACTGTCTCTCTCTGTTGATAGGAATCAGCTGAGCTTTATGATAGACCTTTCTACTTTCTCATTCTCCATCGTTCCCTTTACATTATCACTTTTTATCCATGACAAGCTGGATAAAAATTTGAGAGAAAAGGGAAACAACATTTGCCGTTGATAGGACAAAAATAAATGGGAAAAAGCATTTATTTCACTTGAAGATAGTGTTCTGAATACCCTTTAACTGTCTTCCTGATCATATTTAATAAAGGCTGCTGCATTGGCTAATCAGAATTCGGTTGGTGTAATAACAATGTCACCTAACTGTTACAACCTGCTTCTGAGGCAGGGCAACTGGGATTCTTGTTCATGGATCCATTGGGGTGGATTAGAGTGAAACTACACTGAATGATCAGTGTATACGTGAGGCAGGTTTATTTTAAAACAATTTGGTTGCAGTGGAAAAAAAGTATATATGGATTTTGGTTCTTTTTTATCAAAATATTAAAAAAAATGAATAAAATACATAAAGAAAAGAAAGAAGAGAAGGACAAGAGTAGATAGTGGAGAGGGACTGTATCACCACCTGTGGATCCAGTGAAAAAACTTAATTGCTGCAATTTCAATGTCCCTGGTTGGAGTGATGGTCGCAGTCTTGATCCAGTGGGAGCTCATGCAACAAAGACTTCAATGGATTACATACATTCAGGCTTGCCTGGGAATGTCATGGTACCTCCCCCGTGGGTGAGTTTCATACTATCAGCCTTATTAGGAGGAAGAAAATTGGTGCAATAAAAAGCATTACCCTACCTACACAAGATCTGTTTCTTGTCAGCCTTTTCCCTTATCTGGGGAAAACTACTTTAACGCATCAGTCCTAGATTATAAGGGAAACTATAGATCACAGGGCTCAAGCAGCCCATCCAAGCAAACTTTGGTCAATCATAGCTGACATTAGATAAAGATTGTGATCCAATTTCTATAGGTAGAAAGAAACTTTTAATTATAAACTGTCAATGCCTTAAGGGCAGACACATCCTGGATCTGCCTGGCCTGGGATCAGGAGAGGCTCAACTGCAGAGAAGTGACACTGGAGGCAGATGGTGCTTTTGCAGATCTATATCAGAGACTAGCTGATGTGATGCTGGGCAGTGCCAATAAGCTCGAGGAAGGCAGCAGCCAGAAGCAGCAGGATAAGTCACTAAAGTAGATATCTACTTGCTGACTGTGCGGCTGCAGATGCTCCAGTCATGGTCTGACAGATCTCTGGATTTCTTACCAGGAGGTAAAGGGATACCTCCAGGGTATAAAGGACAGAAGAAGAAACAGTCTTTTTCCATAGGGGTTCTGCACAAACAGAGAGGAAGGTGATTCCTTCTACAAATGACCAAGTGGTCCTTCAAGCAATAGCAGGTGTTCCTGGGGCTCTGACCATGCTCCTTATCTCAGAGAGAACTGAGATAGTCCTGGTAGCAAGGACTCTTGGCATTCAATGCCAAGTTGTCTCAAAGACCTCTGTCACATTCCAGCTCAGGGCCATTTGCCCTTGGTTAGTTCCTTTGGTGACACTGTCAGCCTCAGCTGCCATATACACTAGCCTGTTTCCTTCTCCAGGCCAAAGCACCTCCTTCGTTGTTCTTCCTGTGATGCCAAAGGCAACCAACTGGTGTTCTGCCTTGAGGGACACCACCACCATGTAGTAGCGTGACTACTGTGCACCAGTAAGAGGAGACCTGGGTCCATTCAGAGCCCTTCAGGCTGGAGCCAGTGGCCAGGCAAAGTCTGGTGATGGGTGCTCAGGGTCTCTCTGCCTATGGAAGGGCTGGGGGCACCACTCTGGCCATTCCATGTGAGAGACTGCACTGCTGACCATCCTGCCTCTCTTGGCAGCCCCCAGCAAACAGCCAGAGCTGGCCAGCACCAACACACCCAGTCAGGCTGTCTCCTTCCACATCTCTGCAGCTCCTGAGAGATGCAGCGGGTCAGAACAGACTGGACCAGACAAAAGGCTAGACCACTCCCAACTGCAATTCTGGCCAAAAAATCCTTACAGATGGTCCTGAAGGGCCAGCACATTTTTTATCTCAATTCCTGAGTTGTTTCGCTTTTACCCTTTCGACTCCCACTGTCTCACTGGGGGAGAGTGAGAAAGTGGCTGTGTATTTTGCTCCAAGCTGTGGCTAAACCATGACACCTACTTAAACTATGGTGGTTTTTTTTTTATGAGAAGACATACCATTATATTGTTTCTTAAAAGAAGGCACTGTGAGTTTCTTTTAGTAGACTTTCAGATTTTACCATCCTCTTTGTTGAGTAGATTAACTTTCTTAGTCAGCTATCTTGTCAGAATCTTGTGGAGAGAAGATGTAGTTTTCTTTGTCTAATTTTGCTTTCGCTTGATGTGAATTTTTTGGTACAAATAAACTCTAGAAAAAAAATAAATTTGCCTCTGTGTACACCCCTGTACATATAGGAGTATGGGGATGAGTCTTTAGTGCAGGAGTCTTTTGTGCAGAAATCTTTTCAAAAAACCATTATGATATAAGAAGATACAACATCAAAACTGCGTCCGCCACCTAAAATGCCTCTCCTTCAGACCCTTCGATAGGATACATGCCATGCTTGGCTGATTGCTTGCCTTACATCTCCTGTCAAAGAACAAATGGGAATAGATCTTTTCTATAATACAGAGCAAATGGTGCCTCTGGGT